CCCCCCCCCCAATTATCGTTCTGGCTACGGCACTGCTTCAAACACGACTACAAATTCAATAGATATACTGCCTTATTATAGTATTCTTTATATAAAGAGAACTAATGAGGTCGACACGACTACAATAGATACTGCCTTATTAGTATTCTTTATATAAAGAATACTAATTAGGAGTGTTTTATCCGGTTTAAAGGCACTCCACGTGACATATTATGGTTGACATGATTTGCCAATAAGCTTATGAATTATTAATGAGTGTTTAAGGATGTTTTAAACACGTAGCTCGGACAATAAGCTTATATGAACTGTATTAGCATTTTTAAAATTGGCAGAGATGTCTTTACACCAACACAGAAAAAATCTCTGTACAAATGTTGAAAATACGGAATAGGCAGTAACTGAAATCAGGCCGACATTACACTAAATACTTCGACTGCAGACTTTGTTTTGCAGCCAGCGTTTGAGGCGAGTTGCAAACGACCTATATTTTATTCTCAGATTTTGCGAATACAACAACGTCGCGTTATATAATTTACTGTTTATTGAAGCCATATTTCAACGTGATATATGCAAATTACGAAGTAAGTAGAATAAATTATGTCCGTGATTGCTGCAGGCCATGATGCAAAGAAACTTACGAATGAGTTAACAATGGAGCAAAAACATGGAATTTGCTACCATTAAGGTTTAGAAAAGAAACTAGTGTTTCAAAATTTAATATAGATTTCAAAAATGCATTAATAATTCATGAGGAAAACACAAAGAAAAATCATATGGGTATTGTATCTTTATATGCGATAGAGATTTCCCTTGATTTACATAAACTTTAACTTTGATTTTCTCGACTTACACAACGTAGTTTTTGAAGATGACTTCGCCAATGAACTTACTAGATCGATCGTTTTTGAAGCAATTTAAAACATTCGCAGTGCGTGTTTTATCAGACCTAAAGATACTCAGCTTGGATATACCTAAAGATATTCAGATAGACCTAAATATTATATATATTTATTATTATATATATTATATATTATATATATATATATTATATATATTATATATATTATATATATATATATATATATTATATATTATATATATTTATTATTATATATATTTAGATATTTTGATAGACCTAAAGATATTCAGCTTTTTTTTTATCTTTATATCTGATAAAACACTGCTGCTCATGTTTTAAATAGTTAATTAAGAAGTTCCTAAAGGCCTTTAATGAGATTCCAAATCATGTACTCATTGACTTTACCATAATATTTAAATTGTATGTAAATATTTATAATATTGGTTGTAATTCTGTGATTTTGTTTGTAGCCAGGGCTCCGTTTAAACCAGCTATGTGATTAAATATTTTTTTCATTTATTCAAACTCATTTAGTTCCACCTCCTCCACCAGTCAATGTCACAAATTCCGACGTAAGAGAAACAAGAGTACATATTTACTGGAAACCACCCGAACTTCACGAGCTGTTTTCCATTGAGCGGTACTACATCACTTATTTGAAACTTGGTGAGAAGAAATGGTCAAACAACACCATCAGTAATGACGAATACAATGTTCAACTGGATGACTTGGAAAGTGATACGTTCTACATTCTCAAGATTGTTGCCGAGAATGCATATGGTCTTGGCAAAGAAAGCGGCAGAATGGAAATTAAAACTATGAAAGTTAAAGGTACATCATTTTTACGCTGGAAAAATTTTGTCTCGAAAATTTGAGTAAAATAATGCACCCGAAGTGACTCAAACTTTTGAGTAAAATTATTCAAATGTGTGAGAAAATTTAGTCATTTTTTGAGTAAATGAGTATTTGAGTAAAATAAATCTTTACCAAAATAATTAAAAATAATCGAGTTCTTCGTCGCCAGGGCGAGGGGCTGGATGCGTTAGGTGGCTCCGGTTAGGAGGGGTTGGAGTGTGGTGAGGGTCAGGTTATCAATGTGTCTGTATGATGATATACATCATACATAAAAGTGCACTTGCATGTATGATGATGCACATCATAGATTTAAGTATATTCGTATGATGATATACATCATAAAAACGAAGAGACCATGATGTACCTAAAACAATTTTTTAAAATGTACGAATGGTGAATATGAAGCAATTGCAGTATATATAAATGAAATATTCCCCGAGCCGGCGGCGCGAAGCGCCGTGCGAGGGTACTAATTCCGCACGGCTAATTATACCTGGGTATGTGAAAACATAGCGGAGTGCAAAGTTGTCCTCTATTTTGTTTATGTCATGGACGGTTTTCGACGTTATGCGCATGCGTGAGTACAAACTCTATCGTTTTATGCTTCAGTCATTTGAAATCACGCCCCCCCCCCCGGGACATAGCGGGGAATTAACAAAATTTAGCGGGTATTTAACGCTATTTAACAACGTGCTATGCCCCGGAGGGCGGTGGAATTAACAACTTTTTTATAACCGGGGAATTGACCCGGGATTTAACAGCCGCTATATATAAATACACCGGGGATAACTGGGGACTTAAAATGACACATAGGGTCGTAAAAACGAAAATGGCGACTGGCGAAAAACTTCCTCGACAGGTACGTGCGTTTGAAACTTTATATTTTATACTTAATCCTCAGCCATCCGCTGCTGTTAATATTCAATAAGTGTCATGCAGGCATCGCCTTTTCCATTGTTTGGATATAATTGGCATTGTTTACATTTTATATTTGCATATTTATTTACATTTTCATATCGATATTTTGATATGCATGACCAGACATTGTCAATACAATATTCTCAATTTTCAGGTGTTGTTTCAATATCAAGACAGCAGAAAGATCATAAATATTTACAATACCGAAGATGATATTATTTTCAAAAGTGAAGCACAGCTTTAATATTACAACATAACCATTATTTTCAAAAATAGAGCAGGGAGAATGGATAGATGTAGATACTATAAAGGATATTCTTGACAAAGAAAAAGTGAATATGCACACCAGAAAACTATCAAACTCTGAGGAGCAAACATCTACTTCACAGGTTTGTACACTGCACAATACAGATGTATTTTAGTATTTTTCAAAAATTTTCACACAAAAGCAAAAAACACAGCAGGCTCAGCAGCATTACCAATTAATATTATTTAATATTTATTATTTAATATTAAAAGAGAAAATCCTACTAAATTATATAATAAAAAATCCTACTCAAAAAAATAAAAGTATCTTATCATTATCATATTAAAAACATTGAACTTCGGATTGCAGACTGTTGACTATTTTAACCACATACAGGTAGCTAAGAGTGTCTGTCTTTCAAACAATTGTCAAATATATTTCTTGCCGATCAAGATGAACGGCAAGCTTGCTTTTTTGCCGATCAAAAACAATGTCCTGCCGATCCTAGCCCTGTGATTGCAACTTGATAATTCTGAGGTGTAACCGACCAATTGTACTATTTGTTGCAAAATTAAAAAAGATCCATATCCAGTCATCAAACAACTTATCTTTATTTTGAGCGTAAGTATTAATAATTACTTCATTACTGGGTCGAAAGTTCAAAATAAATGTATTAAAGATAGAGAACATACAAATTATAATTTAATAAATTGCATGAATTATTAAGTACTCTTCAAATCTATTAAATATAAATCATGTTGTACGTATTGGAACAATTTTTGCTTATTTTATAAATTGTCTAACTTTTTCCAGTATCTGATGCAAAACAGGCAACATTGTGTATTAATAATCCTGGCAAACTATCAGTTGGACCTGTTGTGGAGGTAAGGTGTTTGTAGTCTTTAGAATAAAGTTTTATTGATATTTTTATTGCCTAAATATCTCAGTTACAATCCAGTATTTGACTTGATAACAGACAGCTTTATCCAGTGCACCCTACTGCAATTATAAGAGATACATTACATGAATGGCTAATGCAGACATTCCAACCACTGGAGGTAAAATTTAGGGAGACTGTTCAGTGAATTGAAATATAGTTCTTCTGGGAAAAAATAATAAAAATTAAGTCTTCTCAAATGGTGTTTCCTGCATTTTGGGACTATGCTGTTATAAGTGATCCTATTCGGGAGACTCCCGGTAAAATCAGGAGAGTTGGAATGTCTGATAAGGCGTAAAAAAACATACCTGTGGTTCTGGTTTCATATTGTGAAAAAATTAGGGTCGGTAGGTCGGAAATAATTTTTTTAAAATATCTTTTTCATGGTTTTTAACTGGGCGATTTGCAGTAGAGTCCCGACATCAATATTAACTAGAGATGCGTATTTCCTATGGACGAATTTAGGCAATTTGGTTCAATAATTAGTGTGACAACAGACACCATTTTGGCACGCTGTATGAGCAGCCCGCAACCACCTGGAGAAAATAAGGTTGTACGGTCAATCGTGCTGAAAAAATAATAGGGTCGGCAGTAAAAACCAGAACCACAGGTATTTTTTTAACGCCTAATGTATAAGAAATAAAGGAAAACTTTGAAAGTGCAAGAAATATTCTACTAGAGAGGTAGCTATATACTTGTCCACACAAATGAAAAATGTGAATATGTAGGCTTCTACAAAAGTAATAAGAATTATAAGCATATATAACATAGGTTATTAATGAAAATTCTCAACGCTGATTGGTTTCCATTCAGGTGATTATTTAACAATTGTTTGGCGAAGTGATTATCGGTGAATATTTACCTGAGACGAAGTCAAAGTGAATTTTCACCATAATCACTAAGCCTGAGATGAATAATTGTTTTAGTATAACTTCAGTGGTAAAACATGCATATTAAAGTTTTATAATGTAAATGTAGCATGTATAGCTATTAGCTTTGATCCGAAAAGTTTGTAATCAAAGTTTGTAAAATGATGCTGACCATGCTTCAAATTTACAACATTAAGGATCATGTAAATCAAACTATTTAAAACGTTTCACAAAGCTTAATTGTTGTTTTTGTTTATGTTCAATTTTGTCAAAATTATAAAAAATCAAAAACGATATTGGGAAGCCATTTTGAAAAAAGCCAGACTAGTAAAATATAATGCCTCATATTTATGTCAGGCAACTAATCAAAATGGTGGCAAACCATTATTCACTGTTGACGAAGACCTAAGTCACTGGTTGAAACGTCTTAACATCTTTTTAAATAAACATAGTTTTTAAACGTTTTTATCAAACCAGTGTCAAACCTTTCTACATCTCAATATGTCTAATCCTGGTTACAATTTTAACATTTTAATATACATATATTTAATATATATATTTAAAAAAATCATTAATAATTATATATATATATATATATATATATATATATAAAAGAAAACCAACTCAATCATGAAATAATAAGAGATACAGATAACTCTATTTTGAAAGTTTCTATATTTCTCTTTAATATATCTTGTTTTACCAATAATTTTATGGATAATTATATCAAAGCACTCACTTTTGGTAAAGATATCATAATTGCTGGAGACTTAAATTGTGACTTGTTAAAGACAGCTCAAGAGGCAAAGGTTTTGAATGATTTTTGTCACTGTTTAAATTTGACACAGTTAATTGATAAACCGACGAGGGTCACGTCATGTTCGTCAACGCTTATTGATGTCATGATGACTTCAAATAAAGATTTGATTGCAGAAAGTGGAGTGCTTGAAATCTATATTAGTGATAATTTTCTGGTTTACTGTTCACTCAAACTAAAGTTGATAAAACCGCATCCAATTTGTATCACTGCAAGGAGTTATAAGCATTACAACAGAAACCAATTCCTCTGTGATTTGGCATGTATTCCGTGGCATGAGAATTTATTTGTTGAAAATGTAAATGATAAACTGTCGCATTTTGATAGTAATTTTCAAAATGCATTGGCTAGGAATGCACCAATTAAGACAATGAAAATAAGACATCGACAAGTACCATTTGTTGACAATGAGATCAAAGAACTGATGAAAAATAGAAATAGAATACACAAATTTGCTCGTCTAACCCGAATGCCACCTGATTGGGAGAAGATAAAGTTTAATGTCGAGATAAAGTTTAATGTAAGCTACACCAAGCACAAAAAGATTATGTACTCAGTGAAATATATAATAACCCAAATATAGCATCGATGTGGAAAGTCATCAGGAACTGCGTTCCTCGTAAAGAGACCACGAAACCAAGTTATTCCGGAGATGTTAAGAAATTAGCTAATGAATTCAATACCTTTTTTTACCTCAGTGGGGATAAATACATCGGCAACTGCATTGGCATTGCTTACTGAACATGGACTACCCATACTGAATCCACCAACATCTACCGAAATACCTGAGATCGATCAGTTTTATTTCCATTCAGTATCGTGTAGTGAAATAAGTAGGGTTGTTATGTCCTTTTCATCAAATAAGGCACCAGGATTTGACAAAGTATCAATGGCTGTGATCAAGGACGCCTTACCATACATCCTTCCTACACTTACGCAAATTGTTATTGTTCCCTGGAAACAGGTGTTTTCCCAACAGCCTGGAAGAAAGCAGAGGTTATCCCACTTCTGAAGGAAGGGGATTATGAAATTCTGAATAATAATCGGCCCGTGTTGTTGTTAGTGGCTTCATCTAAGATCTGTGAATGCGTGGTATTGAAACAGTTAACAGAGTGTATGACAGAGGAAAAAATTTACTAAACATCAAAGTGGAAATAGGAAGTTACATTCAACCGAAACATTAAACATATTCATCTCAGATTTAATTCTCCAGTCCACGGATTGTAGAGAAGTGACTGCTTTACTCTTACTGGACTTGTCTAAAGCTTTTGATAGCTTAGATCATTTCATTCTGCTAAGAAAACTTTCGAATATTCGAATCTCGAAGCCTGTGTTGTTTTGGTTTAAAAGCTATTTGACAGGCAGGTGCCAATCAGTACGTATTGCATATTGCGTCAGTGTTATCTGATGAATGTGACATAACTTGCGGTGTTCCACAGGGATCGATACTGGGTCCGGTGTTTTTAAATATATATATCAACGACTTGCCTGGTGTACCAAAGGAGTCCAATTTGAAGTCGTATGTGGATGACTCAAAAATATATTTAGCATTCTCAATCAGGGATGCTGAGTTGGCAGCTATGAAACTCACAGAAGACATGCGAAGAATTACCACCTGGTGCTGTCTTAACAGTTTGTTGGTGAATCCAGAAAAAACTAAGTTGCTTATATTAGGTACTAGGCAAATGTTAGAACAGGTACCTGAAAATTTTCAAATAACTATCCTTGGTGAGAATATTACCCCAGTTGCTGTTGCAAAGGATTTAGGGATGATATTGGACTCATGTTTGAGCTATGACGAACATATCGCAAGCGTTGTTTCATCTTGTATCACTGGATTGGGCCAAATTAGCAGAGTTAAACCTACCTTTGACAGAAAAACATTAATTCTTATTATAAATTCCCTGATTTTTAGCAAAATGTATTACTGGTCTGCTGTCTGGTCTAATACATCCCAAAGAAATATCGAGAAACTTCAAGCGGTCCAGAACTTTGCTGCACGTATTGTTACAGGAACAAGAAAATACGATCATGTGACTCCTGTTCTGCAACAACTGGGCTGGCTTCCAGTTAAATACATGTAAGAGAAGCCATTTTTGCTTTCAAATGCTTGAAGGGCTTGGCACCATTGTATTTGTGTGAGAAGTTCCATGTCAGGTCAGATGTTCATGGCGTTAACACAAGGCAAAAGAACATTTTGGATATACCAATGTACAGATCAGCTGCGGGTCAACGAACATTTCACTATAGGGCTGTGTCCTTGTGGAATTCTCTGCCTCAGTCTCTTAAAAACATTGATACTTTGACTCATTTTAAAGTAGAATACAAACGTATGTTATTAGAAGAATTTTTAACTGAAAGTGGTGTTTAACAGATTTATAGAATATTTTGGAACTATAGCCTATGTTATACCTTAGGTCAAAACTCAAACTTCATTTTTAGATACTTTTCTAGACATAGAATTTCATATTTGTAATTAGATCCTGAAAAGCCCAATTGGGAGTATCTAATATTGTATAATAATAATAATAATAATAAATAATAGTAATATACATCAGTGATTTTAAATTTATTTCACAGTTGCCAAGTAGAAAATACTTGTCATGAGGAAACTTTATAGTAAATAAAACTTTTTAAATATTTAATTCTTTTAAAGCCACAGTTAAGTTTTACTTCATCCAAAGAAATGATCAGTGTTGATACAGAGAAGATAAAAAGGGAATCGCAGATATACATGCTGAATCCAGATGATAAACTCTTGGATTACCACCGTGCTATTAATGAAAATGCGTTTGCTGTTGCAAGAGAAAAACCCCATTTGCTTGCTTCAAAAATTGAATTACAAAAGCTAGAGAGACAACGATTACATGAATCAGGTTTTGCTTACAAAAGGAGGGAGTCCAGGTCAAAATATTTTGGAAAAATGTCTACCGTAGAGAAGCCAAAAAGGGAAAAACTAGGAGAGGAAATGAGACAGCAACAACTCAGTCATGTGCAAGAAGAATTAAAAGAAGTCTATCTGCAGTTGAGCTATGCATCCCGGCAGCGCGAGAGATGTGCTAATGTGAATAACTTTACGAAAGCCATTGAGATGTCAAAAGAAATGGAAGAGCTCCGCCAGAAGAAAAGCAAATATCAAGAAGAGGTAGCGTTACTGCAGAAAAAAGAATCGTTAAACAAACGCGTGAAAAAATGTTTGCCAAAAAAAAAGGCAAAACAAAGGGCCTACCTGAAGGAAGTAATCAGAGCATGCGTAATTTTGTCTACAAGAAAATTGGATCCACCAATTCAAGTGATGTTTCTGCAGGAAAAGATATCACTGATAACAGTTTTGACCAACTACATTCCAATCAACAACCCTCAGACAACGAGGAAAGCATTGACCTCCGCGAAGTCGCAAAGCAGACCTCACAAGAATCACTTCCAGCCCCAGAGCAAGATAATACATTGACGGCAACCTCTAATCAAGAAACCAGCGCCAAAGATACTCATTTTGACCAAAGTCAAAACGAAAAGGATTTTTAGTGAATCTACAAAAAGCCAGGGGGACTAACCCGTTGGGAATAACAGGAACATTGGATGAAGAAAAGTTTACTAGATTTTCCCACAACACTCGCCTTTGTTTGAGTGATTTAATAAGCAAGTGCGCAAGTGGTGGAATGTATATTTCGTTGATGATGTCGGTTGATTTAGAAGAGTTTGTTATATACAAGGCCAAGTATTGTAGAAGGTATCACAATGAGATATGTACAGAATGTACGGCTTTGATACAAGCAGCATCGTGCATTTTAACAGACGGTATTGTTAAGGTTTCGCAGGTTTTCAAGATGCATTTCTCTAGTCTGACATGCAAGTACAAGTCTGATAAAGCAGTTAGAATATTAATGCAACTGGCCAGTAGTAATTTTTAAGCACGAACAGCTGTTTGTTACAGAACACAGACCTGACGTAGATTACTCGACAATGCTTGAATGGATCGTAAAGGTTATGCCAATGAAGGACATAGACAAGACGTTGAATAAGCAGACCCTCAAATCCTTATGCGAACTGGCATCGACAGAGTCCGATCGGAAGTTAGTGAAAGCTGTAGCAACATGGGGTATGTTGGCAAGATAGGCAAAGAGAGAATACGGTATAGATAATCATGCAAGCAAAATTCTTCAAGTAAAAGAAGCTATGGCTATGAGAAACGATATCAATGAGGCTACATTGGTGCTTGCTATGCTCAAAGATACAGCACTTTTGCGTTCTATTGGCATTATAGATGACATTCAAAGTTACACCGAATCAGACAGCTGTGCAAGTGATATCGAAGAGTTGGAGTGCAGAGAAGAAGAAGGTTCTTGCGATCAAGTTTGTTCCAACGATTTATCGAGTGAGAACGACAACATAATAAATGGAGGCACATTGTCCCCAAAAGCTTTACAACTTGATCCACAATCAAAATAGAGTACTATATCACTGGCTGCTAGACCGTCCAACGAAACTTTATTATCTTGGTTGCTTGATAACAAGTTGAACTGGTTCTGTTTTTATAATGACCTTGAACACTTACAAAACTACTGTACGGAGGATCTAAATCAAATTATGCTGGATTTTTCAGAGTATTTGCGGTACTCCGATTTGACCGACGAACAGAAAACATTAGTTGAAGTCTCTCGCCGAGTCAGACGGCGAAACTCAAGAGTCATTTAGGTATGATAGTCGTCTACTTTTAACAGAAAGAAAAAACCCAGCAAATTCAGGCAGTAAGACGGGCTATCGGACAAAAAGCAAAGAGAATTGCAGCGAAGAAAAAAGCTACTGGAAGTTTGTTAAAGAGAAAAATACCCAAGAGAGTAAGTCGCGTTATTCAAGAGCATCCAAATATAGGTAAAGACATCGAAGAATTTGTAAAGTCAAAGAGAGTTGGAGCGGATACTTGGAGGAGAACGGGGGTGTTCACTTTCGATGGTTCACATACAAAAGGGAAAAAGGTTACATACAAGCTCATACAAGATCATTTGCAAGCAAAATACGACTGTTAAGATTAATTATGGAACTGTTGTACAGTTGTGCGTCATACGTAGTAAACAGCGTATTTCAGCACATAGTTATAAAGGTGTAGCTCGAGTGACGTGTCGTAAATCTCGGAAATATAGATAGATAGATAGAAGTATTTATTTAAAGTCATACTGCGCAACAAAACAGTTTACAACATTGACCAATTCTTATATAGTATATACATTTGATACAATTTTAAATCAATTTAAAAAGACACCTGTTTTATAAAACTACTCTTAAAACGCTCAGTGCGTATACGTGGTAAAATGTAATTATGTCCACGGTTTCGCAATTGCTACAGATGAAGGACCAGGGCATCTTGAAGTCCAATTCCTTTGGACAGAAAGGCATATAAAGAAGCAAAGGATATGCACAATAGTATCAGTGAGGAATAGCGGTGGTTGTTACTTGAATGAGGTAGAACTTATGAATGGATGTATTGCGCACGCCCACAGCAATCTGTTCATCCCGTCAACTTTGTCCGGAAGCAATTTCGATGCAAGTGGTATTAACAAGGGGAGGTTAACAGAAAACATGAATATTGCTTCAGACATTTACATAGACAGAGTGGATGGTGCTTCCTGTTGTGGAACAAAGTTGCAACTATTTAAAGGAGGAGAGGACGATGAATGTTATCAAAGAAGACCAAGTCTTCTAACATTCAGTCAACCCCTCTCATTAGCTGATTTTTAAACATTTTTTGAAAAAATTTTTTGTTGTTATTTTGAGCCCATTAACTATTGTACATTAAGACTGCATGGTTGATTTTTTCAAAAAAATCTAAATTAGGTGAAAAAAAAGCTCTCAAAGTTACCTTGTTTGAAAATTTACCCCATAGCAACGCCCTAGCAACGCATTTAGGTACAAAATTCAATTTAGGTACAAAATTCAAATGACTTCAAACAAGTTTCTTTATGTTTCTCCTTTTGCTGTATGTGATTTAGAATCTTCTGACTTAGCTACATTGTGATTGGTTGCTTTGGGGAGCCATGGCAACGCGATTTCTTTGTCTGTCTTGTGATCGATCGCATTTGCATTGACTGTGAAATTATCGACAAAAATCTTAGTTTTTTCTTAAATTCCAAGTCGAAAAGTTGCTGTTCTAGTTTTCCAAAAGAGAAACCAAGCTGTAAAGGCATCTCTTCTCCACGTTGATTCGACTGATGAGAACCCGCAGCATCATCTTTGCCCAAAAGGAAAGTTTGTGTGGCTATCAAAGAGATAGCAAAACATATAAACACAAGAATGGTATTCCAAAGCCCATTGTTGAGTTGATTGTATTTGCTGATTTGGCTAACACTGTCTTGTTGAATAAATCACACATGGCTTGACCCAGAATGCAAATGAATGTTTGGGCGGGGTCATCTGGGACTGATATCCAAAGTCTACCTATGTAGAGCAGGAAACAGTAGCTCTTGTCACCTATTTAGCAGTCTTAAAATTCAATGATGGGGACATTTATTTCCTCAAAATGTTTGAAGATTTGGATATAATGCCTGGATTCTTCACTCGTAAAGGTGCCCAAGACTGCGACAAAGCGAGGATCAAGCTGTTGGCCCAAAAGAGCTCAGAGAAGGTGAAAGTAAGGAGAAAGTCACTAAGACACCTCAGAAAGAAGTATTTAGATCATGCTGAGGGCATGGAAAGTGTAACTTATGAAGCAGATAGCTTCTGAACCTTTGTAATGTAAGAAAAACATGAATGAGAACTTTAAATTGGATTTTCTCAGTTTTGCAATTTGACATGTGTCAGTGATCTTTGTGATACTGTAATCTTCTAACTATTCATTGCAGAAGGTTAATATTTGGCATACTTACTGACTGTAACATTGTCTAGTAACTGTCATTCTTCAATTTTCAATATTTTTGATCCTTAATGAATTATTTGCAAATTACCTTCAAAAGTACCAGATTAAAAGTTGAAATAATTGAAAATTCCAAAATTTGACACTAAATTTTTTTAAAAACCATTTTGAACAAAATTAAAGAAGGTCAGTTACTAGATCAGGTTCTAAGCTTTTTAAAAATATATCATTCATTTGATTCTGATGACTGGTTCTTGAGATATCATGTTTACGACGCTAGGCAATTATGGGTTAATTAACGGCCGCCATATTGGATAATTAGTGTAATTAACGACTTTGTTAAAAAATTTTTGCATTGGTCATTTTCTTTCACCTGACCCTTTCAGAAAATGATATTTTTGCATAAATCTACTTAAAAATTAAAAAAAAAGTTTCAAGAGGGTTGACTACCTAATAAAGATTTTTAATTATCCAAAATAATAAAAATGGTATAAATTTATCACCAAATACGCTGTCTATTTTCATTACATGCTTCATCAGTTTTCTAAAGCAAACAATATATCAATATTTATAACCAACTTGCCTTATAGGTTTTACGATTTCCACCGATATATTGTTATCTTTTGTTATGAAGCAAAAACAAACAAATTGTTCGCCTGCATCATCTCATGCATTGATGTTTTTTCGGGTTTCTGAATAACGTTTGTTCCTCCCCCCCCCCCCCCTCC